AAACCATGAATAAAATGAAAAGGCAACTTACTGAATGGGAAAAGATATTTACAAATCAAACAATCAATAATAAGTTAATGTCCAAAATACATAAAGAACTTACACAACATAGTATCCAAAAGAAAAAAAATACAAACAACCTGATTAAAAAACAGGTGGACTTCAATAGACAATTTTCTAAAGAAGACATACGATGGCCAAGAAACACATGATAAAATGTTCAATATCACTATTCAGCAGTGAAATGAAAATAAAAATCACACTGAGATATCACCTCACATCTGTCAAACTGGCTATCATCAAAAAGACAAAAAATAACAAGTGTTGGCAAAGATGCAGAGAAAAAGAAACCCTTGTACACTGTTGGTAGGACTGTAAAATAGTACAGCCAAATTTCTCAAAAACAAATTTCTCAAAAAATTTCAGAAAGAATTACCTTACAACCCAGCAATTTCACTTCTGGGTATTTATCCAAAGAAAACAAAAATATAATTTCAAAGAGATATATGCACCCCTGTGTTTATTGGAGCATTATTTACAACAGCCAAGATATGGAAGCAACCTGTGTCCATCAACAAATGAATGGATAAAAAAAATGTAAACATTTACCTACCTACACACACAGAATGTCACTCAGCCATAAAAAAAAATGAAATATTGCCATTTGCCATGACATGGTTGAAACTAGAATATTATGCTAAGTGAAATAAGTCATAGAAAGACAATATAAATTTCATTTATATGTGAAATATAAAAAATCAACAAACAAGACAAAACAGAAACAGACTGATACTGATAAAATAAACAAAATATTGGTTACCAGAGGAAGGAAAGGTTGGAGGCAGGCAAAACAGGTGATGGGAATTAAAAGGGACAAGCTTCCAGTTATAAAATAAATAAGTCATCAGAGTGTAATATATACCATAGGGAATACAGTAAAAATACTGTAATAACTTTGTATGGTGACACATGATAACTAGACTTATTCACCAGGGCATACAATTAAGAGATCTATAACTTTAATATTGATATTGGTATGAGTAATTGCAAGATCCTAGGACAGCCACTACTTTTTCATGGAAAAAAAGACAACATGACAAATGTAGGTCTATTAGAAAGTTAGTGTGGTATAGGGGAAGGAGCATTGAATGAATTGGTCAAGAATTTGAAGCCAGAATACTGAGCTCTTGTCTGGTTGTGACATTTCCTGATCTCTGAGATGGTGATTATTAAACACAACCCACAAAGTCGCCACAAAAAAACAAAACAATGCATATAAAAAGGCATATATATATATATATATATATATATATATACACAGCATATAGGCATTAAATGTTTCTCCCAGTAGATATGAAGCTCCTCAAAACCAGAGCTAATCTTACCTTTTTTATGCTTTGGATAATCTTTGGATAACTGTTTTGGTGAGTAAATGAAGACCATCCAGGAAGAATACACACACACACACACACACACACACACAAAGACTGTTATGATTGCATATATAGTTGGGCAAGGTAAATTTTATAATATGTAAAACCCTCTTGCTAATTGCATCTGCCTGTCTGGGGTCTGGGTCTCTGGGGCATCCACCGGGCCACGTTGGCACCCGTGAGCCAGGGTCCAACATTTGGGGGCTCGCCCGGGATCTGAGACGCCCCAGACTCAATCCTAAGACCGGTAGGAGGACAGGCTAAAGGCGCTCCAGATTATCCAGCACCAGATCTGGAAACCCCTTGTGGCTGTCTACCGCCCCGGAGACACAACCGGCCCACACCCGTTCCAGATCGGGGACTCCGTCTACGTCAGGAGACATCAGTCCAGGACGCTTGAGCCCCGCTGGAAGGGCCCATATACTGTACTACTGACCACCCCAACCGCCTTAAAGGTAGACGGCATTGCTGCTTGGGTCCACGCCTCACACGTCAAGCGCGCCCCATCAACGAGCACCGCTGACGCCAGCCAGGACGGACCGGACGAGCCGCTCCAATGGAAGCTCCACCGCACCCAAAACCCGCTCAAGATAAGACTTTCAAAAATTGTTCAATGACAGTTGTTATATTCCTACCTCTCCTAGCGCTCTTCACCTCCGCCAAAGGTGACCCTCATGCCCTCAAAAGGTTAACCTGGCAGGTACTAACGTCTGGGGGTGACGAGGTCTGGTCTATAACTAAGACCGCCCCCGTGGGAACCTGGTGGCCTGACCTATATCCTGACCTATGCAAGCTAACCATAGGGGCCCCTAGCCCATGGGACCTAGAGGGATACTTCGACACCTCTAGAGCCCCTAACCAAGAAAGCCCTCCAGGGCGACTGGGATTAGACCCATGGGGAGGATGTGGCACGCCTGACAGAAGGGCCATGCTAAGCACTCTTCCCTTTTATGTCTGTCCCGGGCACCACAGAGATCGCAGGCTAAATCCCACCTGTGGAGGAGGGGAATATTTTTATTGTAAAAATTGGGGGTGCGAAACTACTGGGGATACAGAATGGAGGCCCTCCTCCTCCTGGGATTATATCACTGTCAAGGCTAACTATACTCACCCGACATTTAGCAAATGGAAAACCCTTAATTATGGGCCCTGCCAAGGGTGGTGTCATCCCCTACGGATATCCTTCACGGAGCCCGGAAAAAGGGCTACTTACTGGGCCAATGGATATACGTGGGGACTCAGGTTATACAAAGAAAGAACAGATGATGGTTTTATATTCAGAATTAAACTAAAAATAGAATCCCCAGACCCCGTGGCGATCGGGCCTAACGCGGTCCTCGGGGAACAAAGAGCTGCCCCGGCCCTAGCCGCAGGGAGAGCCGCACCCACTAACTTCGCGGTCACTCCAACCCCTGGGTCGTCACCCGAGCCGGGACAACGACTGTTTAATCTTATCATAGGGGCATTCCTGGCCCTTAATCGAACCAGCCCCGATGTAACTAAATCCTGCTGGCTCTGCCTTGCTTCCCCTCCCCCTTATTATGAGGGAATTGCTACTTCAGGGACCTATAATAACATCACTAGCACTCAGGGATGCACACCCGACTCCCAACCACAATTCACCCTTACAGAAGTTACAGGACAGGGAACCTGCATAGGAACACCCCCCCGGGGCTACCAGAGACTCTGTAACACTACCACCCCGATTTTGGGGACTGATTCTTACCTGGAGCCCCAGCCGGGAACTTGGTGGGCATGCAACAAAGGCCTCACCCCCTGTGTGTCGGCTAAGGTTCTAAATAGCTCAAACGACTTCTGTGTCATGGTGCAGATCATACCCAGGGTGTTCTATCACCCTGCTGAAACTCTAGAAAATCAGTATGATAAACATCCCACCCGTTTTCGGCGCGAACCTGTCTCCCTAACCTTAGCCGTTATGTTGGGACTAGGGGTCGCTGCTGGGGTGGGTACTGGCGCAGCTGCTCCGATCCAGGGCTCACGGCGTTATCTAGAACTCCAAACAGCTGTAGATGAGGATCTACGGACACTAGCGCAGTCCGTTTCTAAGCTAGAACAGTCCCTCCCCTCACTTTCAGAAGTAGCACTTCACAACAGGAGAGGCTTGGATTGACTAGTCCTGAAAGAGGGAGGACTGTGTGCGGCCCTGGGAGAGGAATGCTGTTTCTATGCAGACCATTCTGGAGTCATCAGAGACTCCATGGCCAAACTCAGGGAAAGGTTAAATAAAAGACAAAGGGACCGGGAGGCCCAGCAGGGCTGGTTTGAAAGCTGGTTTAATCAGTCTCCCTGGTTGACCACCCTAATCTCTACCATTCTGGGCCCTCTAGTTATCCTGCTCCTGCTGCTAACTTTCGGCCCCTGCGTCCTCAACCGGCTGCTCCAGTTCATCCAAGACAGATTGTCTATTACCCAAGCTCTGGTATTAACTCAGCAATGTCGGGCCCTCCAAACTGAAGAAATAAATGTTCCCTAAGATTTTAAGGTTAAAATCAGCCCAAACAAGAGGAGGGAATGAAGAAACCTCCCCCCTTGTAAGTAGGGCCAGCCCTAATCCAGAGGCAGCCCATCCAGTCTTCTTCCTGAAATTTTAGCAACTAAAAGCATTCTGTTTACAATAAGAAAACCGTTCCCCCCCCCCCCTACACCCTGACTGGAATGTCCCTGAATAGGTTCATGTTGACCCTCCCCCAAATCAACCTGGATGCTACGCGACTCCCGCGGTTCTTTTGTCTTTAGGCAGTTTCTTTCCTTTTGCCTTTTAAAAGATCCCTGTAATTGCTAATCGGGGCTCTTTTCCTCCTCGGAGGCGGAGAGCCCGTTTGCGCAAACGTTCAATAAACCCTCTTGCTAATTGCAAAAAAAAAAAAAAAAAAAAAAAAAAATTTTATAATATGTAAATGTTGGCTTCTAAAAAGTTTATGTTGGTACAAACTTCCGGTTACAAAATAATTAAGTCATGGGGATGTAATATACAGCATAGTTAACAATACTATATTGCATATTTGAATGTTGCTAGTGAGTAGATCTTAAAAGTTCTCATCACAAGAAAAATTTGTAACTATGTCTGGTTATGTTTGTTAACTAGTTTATGGTAAAATATAAGTGAACCAAATTTGTGTTTATAAATATGTTCATTCTACACATAATATATACACACATATATGTATGATTTAATAGTTCAAATACCTTGGGTAAACAGAACACATAGTGAACTATGATTTTTTTAATGGAACTTATCATAAACAAAGAACCTAGGATTCATAAAAAAATAAATTCCTACTTGGAATGATTCTCTAACTTCAGAGAGTTCACGGCAGTGTTGTTATTATGGCCAAATATTTGTTACACATGATTACTCTTCAGCAAACCTTTCAGAGGCAGTCTGAATTTTATTTACAAGAGTATAAACCTTGCCATCAAATTATAAAATCTTACTATCAAATTGTAAAATTCTTACTATCAAATCACCTTGACAATTTGGGGAAGGGGGCAATATTGATTTTATAATAAAAACTCTATGAAGTTAATTGAAAGAAAGTGAGTTACCTGGGTCTGTAGAGGCAATAGCATAGGTGTTTTGTTTTAACTCTTTTGGCCTGAATGAATATTCTCATCCAAGGTTCAAAATACAGAACAGATGTGTAGGCTCTGAATGACCATCTCTCTGGAAAACTAGAATAGAAAATATCAAAAGGCACACTGTAGAGGATGCACCAGCAAATCTTGCAATACTCACATACCTCATTAGGCAGGCTTCTAAATACAAAGGGCTATATAAATCACCTATACTTTGATTAGAACTGAATTTTTGTTGGCAACTGATGCTAAGTAGACGTACACCAGCAATAGAAAATACACTATCCATTAAAGCTATTGGATCAAAAGGGTAAAACCAATTCAAACAAACAAAACTATCCCCCTATTCAAAAATAACAGGAGGAAAAAAAATCTAGGCCCCCACCAATAAGAAACATTTCCATGAAGTTACTATAAACAGAGAAATACAATAAAAATGTTTAATTTGCATGGGAAATCATGAACAATAAATATTAAACTTCATTCTGTAAGTGCAATAAGTATTAAGTATTTATGGCCAGCTGAGAGGAGAAGTCTGATGATGTGGTGAGTGAGAGAGGAGAAAGGAGAAAATTAAAGGACAGAAAGGCAATAAAGCGGGAGCAGACATAACGTAAATAGCCTTGTGAAGGAAGCTACCCTTGTAAAACCACAGGTTGCTGGGAAATCACTGTGTTGCTGTATACTAACTCCAGGGACGCTCCCTATTAGAGCCCATTTATGAACTGTAAATCCTCTCCAATTAGATGAGAAATAAAGATCAAAAAACAAGCCCAGCTGTGCTTGGGAAGTAGAGTTCTTTATCTACTGGGCCCCAGAAAAGACTACTATGAAGGGTACAAGGTCAAATAGAAAGGAGGGAGCCCTACGCCCACCATGTTTACAATCCTACTTCAGTCCAGAGGGAGACAAAGATGATGAAAAAACAAACAAACAAAAAAAAACCCAGAAAGCTTGTCTAAGGGGGCCTGCTCAACAGAGTCACAGACCACTGCCAGTTATTCCATACGAAAGGGCAGAGCTTTAAGGAATTTACCAAAATTAAGATAAAGCCGGTAAGAAATCCAAAGATTTCCTGGCTGGTCATAAGTTCCTTTAGGAATTCTTTTAATTGTTTAAAAAGAAATTATTTTCAAGAAAGACTTGAGTAGAATTTCCCAATAAAATATATATAAAAGTATCTGGTCCATGGCTATTATTCCATAAATACTACTGTATCTTGAACATGACCAGAGAAGCTATCTGCATTACGGTATAGCACCATAATACCGTGGGTGGCTTTTACTACACCAGAAGTTACAGTCAAGTAAATCTTCACCTGTTAAAAGAAAAGGGGGGGGGGAGTGTCACCTTGGGACACTATAAATATTCCAAGGGCTTCAAATCCTTTCTGGATCTCTTGATTAAAAATTGCCCTTAGAACCAGTAGCTTTCTTCGACTCTCCTAAAAGCTAACACATTTCTGTCATTTGAGAGTAAAAGTCAAAAGTAATTCAAAGCCAAGTTTGAGAAATAATGATGAGAGATCAAATTGGGCTAGACAAGTTTAGGTTTAAAAAAGACATTATACAAAAAAAAGATATTAAAACAAATAAGGAAACGAGTATTTCTACCATTTGATAGCTCACTTTTTGTCCTCATCCAATAAATATCTATAGGTAAACAGGCATAGCAGGTGTGCTGGTGATCCTCAGGATGTCCTCTATGTTAGGAAATTCACTGGAAGGGCTCATGGGATTTAGCACAGATCCTTGGCAATCTGGCCACCACTTAACTTGGGCAGTGGTGGGCAGTCCCACCAAGTGCCAGCTGTAGTTAGTGTAGGCATTGAGGACCACTCTCAGTTCTCTAGATATGGGTCAGGCTTTCTTATACCCAATTCCTTGGCCATTTTTGGCTAACTCCTTTTACCCTCCTCACAGTGCAACTTGAGATCTCCTAACCTCTTAAAGCCTTCCCTCACTCCCCAAGATTGGGTGAATCATGTGGCTCTGGTGTTCCCCTTCTTCTTCTGTGACTCCCCATCAGAGCACTTGCCACTGAGTGGTGTGTCACTGTCACTGTCACTATTTTTAACTAGTTTACAACCCCTCCCGGTTGTAAACCCACGAGGCTAGCATCCTCATCAATAAATATTTGTTGCATCAATGGTATTTATTCAGGACTTTCTTGGCTTAATTTAGAATGAACAACAGGGAGTTCCCTTTACAAGAAAGACTTTTAATGATTGATCATCTTCAATGATGATACTATCAATTTTTATAAATAAAGCCAGTTACTACGGAAGCTGAAATAGAAGTGTACTAAGTTATCTTCAAAAGATGTAAGAAAAAAAAAGATGTAAGAAAAAAAATACTGTTATTTTCCACCAACCAGGAACTACTTCACATATTTTTCTCAAGAAGTGTTCTCTTGTTTGCTTTCTTTTCTGTCCTGAATCTTGCCAGAAGTGCCATATCTCTTCATCTGTATCTCTCTCTCATTTTTCTATTTAACTAGCTATAATCAACTAAAGAAAGGAAGAGAGGGTGCTCCCCGCCAACAGGCGCATGCACAGTCACATGATAGATATGGGGAAGTAAGAGTGTTTTAAGCCAGAAACTGGCTCGAAAGTTTGTGGAATATAAGAGCAGATGGAATAGTCTATGCGTTTGTCCCTTGCTCAGCATTTGGGAATTCTTAAGAAGTCTCTAAATCAGTCTCTAGCTGTGACTGTGGCCTCAGTGTGGCCTCTTTCTTCTCCTAATCTATCCACAATGTTTTGCTGCTGTTTTAAGTGTTTCTCCATATGTGGCCTATCATGGGTAGGTTGGTGTGATCACCAAACTGTAAAGGACAGGAAAGGGGTCAGAAAGAGAGGTCCTGTGGCCGTATCATATCTCCTTTATCTACTAATTCAGATTCTCTGTGGCTGAAGTCTGAGAATGTAAATTTTTTTAAGTTACCCAGGTGATTCCTTTAACTGTGCAAGTTTTGAGAATCACTGCTTGGTAGACATGCTGGACAGGGCAGTATGTAAAAATAGTTGTCTGAAAGAGAGAAGCAGTATTTGGATATAGGACACCCTCTACATCTATCCGCAATGGGTACACAGACAACGGACTCCCATTGAACTGCCCTTGTAAGGTCCACAGTTGACAAAAATGACTCTAAACTCCAGGCAATAAGTTAGATTCCTTTTGGAATAGCTCAGAAGTGCCATATTTTTATTCATGAAAATACTGCATATTATAACCAAAATTGTTTTCTAAATTTATTGCTAAAGTCCCTACAAAATCTCTGAGGAGTCCTTAAAGTTGAAATTAACAAGGCCTATATTATCTTGAATATAAGGAAGTTCATAAAGATTTTTAACTAGTTTAGATTCTGAACTATGAAGGGGCTAACCAAATTTAATCTTAGGGTGGATTATACCTAAGAGAAATGTCAACTCAAAGAGGTAATTCAAAAGAAAAGTTATAAGCTATGCAAAGTAATGAAAGTGCTTGTCATAACCATGCTATGGCAAGCAGCACATTATAATTTGAAACTGTAACTTCAGTTAAGACATAAACTAGAGACATTATGGAATGCTGCCCAATGACTGTCAATTTAGGAACACACTGGCAATGTGGCATCTAGTTTCAACACATTACTTAGCACAAAATTTCAACTCCATTATTCCACATTATATCATCACTCTCAGCGTTGTTTTTTAAGATGGGTTCCTCCAGTTGCCTGAGATCCTAAGCCATGATGGATTCCAGGGGTATGACAAGCCCCTTCAGTGACAGCCAATTCCATGACATGCCTTTTTTACTAGAGTCTATGCTTTCTTGCATTTTCTCATAAAGTTGAATATGTAAAATACTTAGAATCTTAAAAAGACAAGTCACAAAAGCAACATGGCACAGGGAAATCACATGCATAATAGAACAGGTACAATGTTCACATGGCCTTAACCCCCAAAAGGGAATCAGGAAAAATGTTATAGGAGTGATCAAGTCTTCACAATTTGGAGCCCAAAAGAAATTTCAAAGGTAACAGGAGCACTTCACAAAATTTCCCCAAATCCCCTCTTGCCCCTAATAAAGATCTCCAATGATCTTCAAGGATAGAGGAGAGTAGAAGCCACTACTAAGAGCACCAGTACCATCCAATGAAAGTAGATACTTTCACACATCCTTAGAAAATTACCTAGACATTGGCATTCAATTCAGTTTACCTGAATTCACTTGCTGCTTGTTATATATCAGACACTGGGTTAGTTTCCAAAGTACTATAACAGTAGTGCCAGAAAGAAGTGTTGTAGGCAAAAGCAGAATGGAGGCAACTAAAATGCATTTGGAACCTCCATGTGCCAGGTACTGTGCCTATTCTATTTCTACAGCATTGATACTAAGTAGATGATGCTATATACAGTCTCATTTTGTAGATGTAAACACTGAAGTTGAAGCTCAGAGACCATAGATAATTTATCACTAGAATGAAAGCTCTCCCAATAGAATTCACGCCATTTTGGGGCAGAGATATTTGTGTTTTGTTCCCTAATATATCGCCCAGCTCCTAAAACAGGGCCTGACACTTAATAGATATCTACTGAATGAGTGAATGCAAAATGAATCCATCTACAGCCAGCTACTCAAGGGGAAGAACCAGGACTGGAAACCAGTTCTAAGCAACTATAGAGCCCATTCTTTCTATAATGTACCAGTTGCCTCCAGGGAGGACTGGCCTGGGGAACGGTGCTGCAATGTGACTTGGAGTGGGCATCAGAGGATCAACAGCCGCACCTCCCAGGACTCTCCTGCCTGCGAGCCTGAAGTTCTGGTTCTTTCAACTTAATGGACAGAACTGGACTCACGGGTCTGGTGTCCACATTTTTAAATTGTGTTTGTACCTTACTAGACACAGGAAAAGTTAATATGGCAATAGACTGCAAATGCCCCTCCCCCCAGTCTTCAGTTTGGCTTCATGTCTCTGCTGACAGATCATGCCATTACATATAGGACTATTTAAAAAAAAAATCAAAGACATAGACAGAATCAAGTTGGGAACTATGAACACATACTTGTCTCCTGCTGAAACCCAACAAAGAATAGTAAGGAGCCCTGTGT